TTAAAGTGATATGACAAGAGGCCACTGCCCTCACATAGTATAATGAATAGAACACGGGTCTATTCAATTCAGTATATGCTACGAATTCTATAACAGGGCACCAATGAATAGGGAAGCTTGGCTATTCGATTCTGTTTTCAATAGCTTGCACCTGCAATTTTTGAATAGTTACGTAACAAACTACTCAGCTCTTTCTGACATGGCATCAATTAGTGAATTTGAAACAAACCTGACCCTCCCTTCATAATTGAGCGATTTTTTAAGATTCTTTTTTGGTCAAATGCGAGGATTACCCAAAGAGGAGGTAATAATAGCATTCCTAACATTGCAACAATGACCGCGTTATTGTCATGCATTGTCCCTAGAAGAGGCTCTTTGTCCTTGTCTGGGAGGACAAGCACTTTAGACTGGGGCTGTAGTCTCATTTAAAGAAAGGAAAACAATTTCGGGACAGTTCAAAATAATGCTTGGAAATTGAAATTCAAATGATACCGTTTTAAAAACCAGAAAGATATGGTTTGAGGACAAGAAGCAGGATGTAATTCATTGCTCGGCAATCTTGACTGTATTTAAAACAGAGCATCCAATATACCTGATATTTAATAGTACTGTACAATGTCAATTAAATAAAATAACTAAATAAACAAACAAATAATGGACCTCTTTAGCCAAGACTGTGGATTTTTATTGTTGAGCACTAAATGATTGTGCTCGGTCATACAGGCTAGGTGGGGGAATGCTTTCAATAGACTTAAATTTGAAAGGCCCTTTGTATCACTTCGTGCAAAATGACATAGGGCGTTTCTAATAAATTTATACGAGAAGTAAAACCCTGTTCATCATTGTTTTCGTGTTGCAAAGTTGTTTACAGACTGAAAAAGGGATAGTACGGGACTGTAGAGAGTGAATAAAACTAGGAAATTATAATTGCAAATGTAAAACAACTTGTAAACCTAGCAATAAGAGGCTCTTGAATGCAGTTTTTAAATGGACATGGCTTTGGGGCTACCCGCTACCGCCGCCAGGCTACGCAGCTAGCTGTCGATTGCCAGCTAGCTGTCGATTGCCAGCTAGCTGTCGATTGCCAGCTAGCTGTCGATTGCCAGCTGGCAAGATGGGACCCCCTGGCGATTAATGTGGGGGGGGGGGGGGGGGATGATTTTTCAAATTTTCGAGGGCCAAACAAAAAAATAGTGCTCTCTACCCCTCACCCCCCCCCCCCCTCCCCCTTCCCCCTCTACCACTGAGTGAAATATCGGCCGGCACGATTTTTTTTTATTTCAGCACATTAAATTTCAAATTGATTTCAAGTTTGGGCCCCCCTAAGAAATCCTGAATCCGCGCCGATACCCACCCCTCCCCCCCCCCCAAATGAAAATCCCAAGGCTCCCCTGTAGTTTTTTTCTACATTACTATCCCCCCCCCCCCACAAAAGGTCCCTATTTTCTCATTGTTTTACATCAACAACAACAACAACATTAATATTTATTATAAAACTCCAAAATTGGTTTGTTTTTATAAATAATAATATCTGCCCGGCAAAATATTTGAAGTAAGTATGTAGATTAAGATCATCAGACTTTATTACACTGATGAGGTGTATTGGGTTCTCTTCACTTGTCTCTTTCTGGCTCTCTTTCTCTTTCTCTCTCTCTCTCTCTCTCTCTCATTGGGACTGAAAAAGTATTGAATGTAATAATGTTTGATAAATAGATAAACAGGATTCCTGTCCTTCTTGTACTTCGTAAATATAATACTTTACCTTGCTTACAAGTTAATTGCAAGCTCATTGTATAGATCAATTAAGAGAATAGCAATAAATATGGACTTTGAGTGAGATCAAAATGGGTTTGACATCAGTTTTTCTTTTTCAAAGATTAAAAAAAAAGCAACAGCTGGGTGTCGAACCCGATACCTTCCAGTTACCAGGCGATTGCCTACCCACTAGACTAAAGTGTCACATTGCTAATCTCCATGTTTTTTTTTCATACTTATATACTTATTGTTGTAGATGTAGCAAAAGAAAAAAACGCAACAGCTGGGGGTCGAACCCGATACCTTCCAGTTATCAGACGATTGCCTACCCACTAGACTAAAGTGTCACATTGCTAATCTTCATGTATTCTTCATACTTATACTTATTGTTGTAGATGTAGCAAAAGAAAAAAACGCAACAGCTGGGGGTCGAACCCGATACCTTCCAGTTACCAGGCGATTGCCTACCCACTAGACTAAAGTGTCACATTGCTAATCTCCATGTTTTTTTTTCATACTTATACTTATTGTTGTAGATGTAGCAAAAGAAAAAAACGCAACAGCTGGGGGTCGAACCCGATACCTTCCAGTTATCAGACGATTGCCTACCCACTAGACTAAAGTGTCACATTGCTAATCTTCATGTATTCTTCATACTTACACTAATTGTTGTAGATGTAGCAATAGATGTTTTCTGACTAATTCAGAGAGTCGCTTGTTAAAGAAAGAGTATTACATGCTATTTTTTCTTTGTTAAGGGGGGGGGTGTCCCCTTTAAAAAAGAGATGACAAGTCAATATTATGGAGTGAAGAAAAAAAAATAACATGGGTTTATATAAAGGAGAAACTGAGACTCGAACCGAGTACATTGCATTGTGAAGTGATCACTTTTATCCACAAGACCATTTTGCCTCACCGTGATAACTGGTTCGCTTTTTGTTGTTAACACTTTCTGCATGCTAATGACTTTACAAAATGTGCCGATTTACTGATTTGACGCTTTCGGGATGCATTATTATCATTATTTTTGTAGTCCGATGTTGTCAAGATTGCCCGTATTTTTTTTCTTTCAGTTACTGATATTACTGATATAATAGTGAGGTTTTATGTTTATTTCATTTAATTTGCAAACTGCTGACTTAAACTTAAAGTGATATGACAAGAGGCCACTGCCCTCACATAGTATAATGAATAGAACACGGGTCTATTCAATTCAGTATATGCTACGAATTCTATAACAGGGCACCAATGAATAGGGAAGCTTGGCTATTCGATTCTGTTTTCAATAGCTTGCACCTGCAATTTTTGAATAGTTACGTAACAAACTACTCAGCTCTTTCTGACATGGCATCAATTAGTGAATTTGAAACAAACCTGACCCTCCCTTCATAATTGAGCGATTTTTTAAGATTCTTTTTTGGTCAAATGCGAGGATTACCCAAAGAGGAGGTAATAATAGCATTCCTAACATTGCAACAATGACCGCGTTATTGTCATGCATTGTCCCTAGAAGAGGCTCTTTGTCCTTGTCTGGGAGGACAAGCACTTTAGACTGGGGCTGTAGTCTCATTTAAAGAAAGGAAAACAATTTCGGGACAGTTCAAAATAATGCTTGGAAATGGAAATTCAAATGATACCGTTTTAAAAACCAGAAAGATATGGTTTGAGGACAAGAAGCAGGATGTAATTCATTGCTCGGCAATCTTGACTGTATTTAAAACAGAGCATCCAATATACCTGATATTTAATAGTACTGTACAATGTCAATTAAATAAAATAACTAAATAAACAAACAAATAATGGACCTCTTTAGCCAAGACTGTGGATTTTTATTGTTGAGCACTAAATGATTGTGCTCGGTCATACAGGCTAGGTGGGGGAATGCTTTCAATAGACTTAAATTTGAAAGGCCCTTTGTATCACTTCGTGCAAAATGACATAGGGCGTTTCTAATAAATTTATACGAGAAGTAAAACCCTGTTCATCATTGTTTTCGTGTTGCAAAGTTGTTTACAGACTGAAAAAGGGATAGTACGGGACTGTAGAGAGTGAATAAAACTAGGAAATTATAATTGCAAATGTAAAACAACGTTGTAAACCTAGCAATAAGAGGCTCTTGAATGCAGTTTTTAAATGGACATGGCTTTGGGGCTACCCACTACCGCCGCCAGGCTACGCTGTCGATTGCCAGCTAGCTGTCGATTGCCAGCTAGCTGTCGATGGGACCCCCTGGCGATTAATGTGGGGGGGGGGGGATGATTTTTCAAATTTTCGAGGGCCAAACAAAAAAATAGTGCTCTCTACCCCTCACCCCCCCCCCCCCCTCCCCCTTCCCCCTCTACCACTGAGTGAAATATCGGCCGGCACGATTTTTTTTAAATGGTTTAATAAAACGAATTGAAAATTGAAATGAATTTTTTAAGACGTGATATTTTCTAATGTTACATACATATCGCGTTGAATAGAATCGCAGGGTACAAATAATAGCACCTGTCCCTTCAACATTTTACAAGTAATAAAACCAATGAACTAAAACTAACTCATTTCCCGCGTTATCTTTGTAACGTTCGGAAAATCATTCGTGTACACACACAAACAAATACAACAGGATTTGACTGTTCTGTTACATAATTTGTATTTAAAAAAACAAACATTGTTACTTTTCCACGAAGGACTTAAATTGTGATTAGCAAATAAGACATATCAAAACGTGTCAATCAAATGTACATTTACTTGTCCATACATTAGAGTTGTATCCTTGTAATGCATTTCATGTTTTACAAAAAGACGAATTTAAAAAAGTTTTTTTTTACAAATATTTTGGCAAAGGCACAGCAAATGATGATTTCTCAGGTTATTTAAGCTGAAAGTACACTCTTTGACTAATGATAAATAAATGGCACCGGTAGAGGTTATTAAAGATGAAGTTGAGTTCTGGTCATGCGATTGCATTGTGAAAGAAACGGTGTGGAACCGACCAGAAAAGGTTGATCATCTAGCATATAAGAATTTGTGTGTATTGCAAGGTTCTGGAATCATCAAAATGATAAGAAATTCGGCCAAGTCTTGGTAAAGTTACAAACACTTGCACAGAAAGATGTATATGGGACTACACGAACACGTGGCGTAAAAAGCCTGCCCCCCCCCCGATTTTTACGATGTTACATGCATATTTAGAATATGAAGGCATTTGAAGAGCCATGCTTTTCAGGGAACATGTCTTAACTGATGTTCTTCCATACTTGCATAATAAGAATGAGTAATGCTCACAAATTATTTTTCACCTCTTCCCAGAACTCAACCTTCTCTTTAAATTGGAATCAATGGAAGAAGTCAACTTTGACTGAACACCCAAAATACATCCAACAACAACTGTACATAGGGAGCAGTAGAAAAATACAGTTTACATCGCTAGAGTGTTTGTAGTTGAGTGGCTGAACGAATGTCACCAACAATGTTAGACAAGCTCCCCTTTAATAAGTACCAGTGGCGTAGCTGCAACGGGGCACATGGGGGCATGTATCTCCCCTAATCGGAAGGCAAATATAATTATGTATATGTAAAGCACAGAGGAAAAGATAAACATATATAAAAGAGAAGAGAGAAAAGGAAAATGGAGAGGAAACAAATTGATAAGACCTTACTAATTAGTGGCATTTAAAATTCCCGTTTAATTTGCTGAGCATGACCGACCGGTGCCCCCAAGATATCAGTGCCCCTCCACTGTGCGGACGCACGTAATGCCTCTGATCAGTTCGTCCAACGAGACACAGCCTACATCCTCATGGTGTCCACATTGTTCATGTTGATGAAGATGGAAAAGAAGTCCATGATCTGCATCTCACGAAGTGAAAATATCCAACATATCCTCTGTGATGTAGTTCCTCAAACACTCCACAGAATATTTCCATAGATGCTCCTGCTTCCAGCGGTCACTGGTGGAGAAGGACAAACCATTTAATAGAGAACCATTTTATTAAAGTGATTCGGTAACAGATTCTGAAACAAAATCCTGGATTTAGCTCATGCTGCTATCATAATTATAAACATTTAGGCCAGTCAGGAATCCCATGACTTTTACAAGCCGATCGCCTGTCTGATTATCAAGATATTTATGATTGAAAATCAAAATTTCTTTTTTCGTTTTCCTATTGGGTCTATTGGGGAAAATGAGTATGGTAAAACAGGTCACTCAACTTTTTTTGCTTTTTTGAGGCACTTCATGATCAATTTGAATCGCAATTTCTTTAGGGCTTCAATACCACACCATAATCATAGACACAGATAACACGTACGTAGGACCATGCATCTCAGATTTAACATTGTTAACGATGCCTTTAATAATAATGAAAATGAAAATATCACTGGCCTCTTATATAGCGCTCATATCCGTCAACCAGTGAGGTGCATGGCGCTTGGACATTATTATCCTGGTTATATTAAGGAGCCGCAAAGGTAACTAGGGCTCAAGCATGTCAGGTACCCATTTATACACCCGGGCGAAGAGTGGAAAATCTAGATGAATGTCTGGACAAAGGGCCTTATTGATGGGCAGGGATTGGACCTTGTACCTTGTTCTCTACAGTCCGGTGCCATTATCAATAATTAGACCACAACACCTGGGACCCGTTTCACATAGCTCTTTTCAATGACAAATGACATACAACAGTGATAAATATGCTGATAACCAATCAGAAGCAAGGATTTCAGTAGCCAATAAAAAAAAACTTCCATTTGTCACTGATGACAAGTTTTGTGAAATGGGGCCCTGTTCATTACGCATGGAAACCTCTTTTTAAATGTCTTGGTTTATATTATTCCACGCACATAATTGATATTGATTCATTTAAGTCAAAAAACATTTCTATTTCATTCGCGTAGAGTTAGTGATCTCATAATATTATTAGTTTTAATTCATAACTCTCTTATTATTGGTCCGATTGGGTAAAGACTTTCGCCATTACATTTCTCCTACTTGATACATCGATACAAATGATCTCATTACAAAGGTCGATTGCCCTTTAATTTCTGAATACTCGCTACATGTCAACGGGGTTCCTTACCGCGGTAGTGACGTCAGACTATGTGGTTTCGAGTTTTCGAAGTAGAGGGCAGTCTTGCCATCGTATATCGGGTTGGCGACAGCGTGAAGGGTAGTCAGTGCACCCTTAAAAGGATTACGTAAGAAATCTGGCGGGAAGAAATTACAGTACATCGAAATTTGGAAGTGGTAATTCTGCCAATGCTTTATCTTCTTCTTTATTTTGTAAAGTGTATGCATACTGTATTCTCCGCACATACCGGGTATCTTAAGTGGAACTGCAACAGAATTACTATCATTAAGTGCGACGGAAAATTGTATTACATTGAGGTTTTTTTCGACAAATTGTACTGCTAAACTCTCAAATCGAACTATGCTTGCTCGTGGCTTGTGTAACATTACTTTTTGTGAACCATTTTGTATTGTATGATTTTTGTATGTGGATGAAAGAACGTTAAACAGACAATTTAATTCGGAGCAATGGATGCCGCATATACTTACACTCATAATAATACATTATATTCAAATATATACCCACATCTATATTCATATTTATCTTGCAACGCCCCATTAGTAAGAAAGAGATAGAGAGAGAGAGAGAGGGGGGGGGGGGTAAAAGCTAGATCTAGTTAAATGAATTTAATTATTAAAACTTTAATCCTAACGAAATCCTAGGAAATTTAGGAGGCTGGTGGGGCGTTACCAGAAAGTTGAGTTGCAATCGATTGCAAATATCAGTTGCAAATTTTGCAACTTGCAATCAATCGCAACTTTCTTGCAACGCCTCATTAGACTTATACACATGCATATACTTTATCAGGCAACACAAATGAGCTATCACTTGAAAATTAAGCCAGTTCATAGTTGCAGTCTGAGCATGAGCAGATAAAGGTCATTGCAGACCAAATTGTGAAATACACGGAGACGAAATACTGGATACGTGCTCATGAAAGTTATGTAGTCATTATTCATTTATGCACAAGCACTGCCCCCATGATACACAGGTGGGAGTATTCTTTGAAAAGGGGGAAACAAAGGCTATTTTATGTACCACCTCCATCGCTGTAGGAGTGTTTTTTCAAACTGTACAAAGTGGGAACTCTTCATATTTTGAAGATCTGTGGATATTCGAAGTTATTTGAGACATGTGAACTGGTCTATTGGACAACCAAACTTACGTGTAGACATGCCCAGTCTGGCAAAGAAGCTGGTCATCATTGGAATTCGCTGTCCCTCTCTCTTTACAAGCTCTGTCTCCACGATACCTGGGTGCACGGAAAATATCCCAATTCCAGATCCTTCCAGGCGTCTCTCCAAAGCGAGCATCTGCATGATCTGGGGAGTGTTTCACAAAGACTAAGATCGACTTTAAGTTGGACTTAACTATGGCAGGCCATTCATGCCACTGATTGCTCTCACCATTACGATCGTTAGATTTAAAAATAAATCCTTCAATAATGAATTTTCAAACAATGTAAATTCTGTAGATTTGTGACCACAATACGTACATCCCTTGAGAGACCATTACCATCAAAATCACCATCATCATAACAAATAACGACAACATCTCCATCAGCGTGATCATCATAATTTGTGTCGTCATCATCGTGATCTACTCCGCGCATCCTTATCACTAACCTGATACAGTTGTTTTTTAATTATACATGCATAGAATAGATTGTAGTTTTGTTCTCAGAATTGGTCCCATGTATATTCCCTCAATTCAATCTTGCAACTTGATATGCCATGGAAGCGAAGTACGATATGAGCTTTTGAACCATTAATTGTCACGATTGTTGCAAGGAAAAAGAATTTTCGATATAGTTCAGTCCTTGTATCTTTGTACCTTAATTGTATACAAATATTTATAACAAAAAACGCTAACCTGATACAACTTTGTATTTGAGTAAATGGTAGTTTTGTTCTCATTTGTTCCCTGTATATCCTCTTCATTCCATCTTGCGAATCGATACGCCAGAGAGGCGACGAGAACGACGCGACTATTAGGTCCAGAGCTCTTCAACACCGGAAGTAATTGCAGAATCAACAGGAAGTGGGACAGGTAATTGACCTGGAAGTGAATCTCGAGTCCATCCACGCTCGGTTCTTTTCAAAGGAAAAAAAAAGATAAAGAACTCGTTACATATAAACAGTGTAGGTCGGTGTATCAACATGTTAGGTAATCATTTATACGGTGCACCGGAAGTAATTGCAGAATCAACGGGAAGTGGGAGTGATAATTGACCAGGAAGTGAATCTCGAGCCCATCCACGCTCGGTTATTTTCAAATGAAAACAAGATAAAGAAATTGTTATATAGAAAAAGTGCAGGTCGGTTGGTATATCCAAATGTTAGGGAATCTTTGATACTGTAGTTGTAAATAACGGTGTAATTGCGTATACACAAATTTTAGTGGTGGATATTTTATCTGACTGATAAGAAAGCATAAATGCTTGTTAGTAAGCAACCAGAGGACCGACGGCTTTTGGTCCAATTCGAGGGACCTGGTAATGAGGATTAATGCCTTACCAAAGGGCACTAGCGCATCGACTTGGTTTCGAACCCGGGTCACCGGATTATGGGGCTTTCACATATACACTCCGGGGCCCGTACGGCGAGTAAAAACAGACATTTTGGGAATTTTCGGCCGGTGTCCGGCCGGCTGCCGACAAGTTCCTACGGGCGCCGGGACAGTTTTCTAAGCCGTACGGGCCCCGTGGTGCTGAGTTGGCTGCTCCCAATTCTCCCGGCGTTTTTAACTGACCGTTAGCCCGTAGAAAACCCGTAAAGGGCCCATGAGGCACCTTACGGGTCCCGTGCGGGCTCCGGACAGTGCCCGGACGGGCCCCTTACGAATTTTTTCTTCAATTTTAATAAAAAATATTTACGGGCGCCTTGCAGTGCTCAAGGGTTCCGTACGTGTACCCTACGGCGCCCTCACGGGCCCCTCAAGAGCCCCGGGTGATATGCACAACAACAGGCGTCTGCCGTCCGGGGGCCATTTAAAATGAATATTGCCCGTGCGGGTCCCTCACGGCGGCATCTCGAAATGTACAACGCAGATTTAAATACAGGAGGTACGGATACCAGAGGACACATACAGAGTGAGTCAGAAAAAATGTCCCACTTTTTAAAAGTTGTATTGTTTGAAGTATGAATATTTAATGATGAGTTTTATGATATATGTCTTGATAGAGTTATCCTCCCAGTACATTTAGGTACCATTTTCATTTGAATTTCTGCATGCATGACTGAACATCAGACAATATTTACAAGACTGACAGATCTCACTTGTGCCAAGTTGCTAGGTGAGGAACAAAATAATGTTTTGAACAAAGACAGCCATTTTGTTCAATTATCCAATCAGCCAGACAGACAAAAACACACAAATACACGCACCCCCCCCCCCCACACACACACACACATACATATATATATATATATATATATACGAACATGCACAGGCACACGTCCACAAATGAGCATTCCATTCCCGACAAGGCCTACCAAAACTGTTACTTTTTGTCGGGAATTCTTCTTATCGTACGAAAAGTTGAGTGGCCGCTGTCCTCTTGGTGCGTATTGGCGGATGTTGTGCTAGATGGTGATGATGGTGATGATGATGATGATGAAGATTAAGATGATGACAATGATGACATGATCGTGGTAGTGAATGTGTTTAAAAGGGAAAGATTTTTACTTTAGGGTTATGCGACTTAAACATTCAGCGATCTTGATAAAAATCAATGCTCAATCAGAAAAGGGGCAATTATGAAATAATTGTCACCGTGTGTGTTGTGTGTGTTGTGTGTGTGCGTGTTGGTGTGTGCACGTGTCTGACTGTCTTTGTCCAATGCATTGTTTTATTCCTCACCAAGTAACTTGGCGCAAGTGAGATCTGGCAGTGTCTGATATTCAGTGATGCATGCAGGGATTCAAATGAAAATGGTACCTAAATGTACTGGGAGGATAACTCTATAAAGATATATCATGAAACCCATGATTAAATATTCATACTTCAGACAATACAACTTTTAAAAAGTGGGACATTTCTTCTGACTCACTCTGTAGTTCAGTGCACCGCACGGCACCCGGCCTGGCGCCTTGAGGACCCCGGCCGGGCCCCGGCAGGGCACCTTCCGGGAGCCATCGGTACACCTGCTCATCGGACGGAGCCCGTAAGGTTACCGGTCGGCACCCTGCCGGCACCCTTACGGGCGCCTTGCATTTCACTCGACCAATTTTCTCCGGGCACCTCCCGGGCGCCGCATAATATGTGACCACACATGCCGTAGAAATGAAAATCGGACGGTTCCCGTACGGTCTCTAAATCTACGGCAAGCCGCCGGGTAGGGAAAATCGTACGGGGCCCGGTTTATATGTGACCTAGGCATTACCGGGCCGATTACGAAACCACTGCTCTACCAACTGAGCTGTCGCGCATCCATACATAGGGTGCGTTTATTGACCAAATTTTTGGCTAGAATGGAAAGACCTAATAAACGCACCAGTTTGACTCCCAATTAACCCCCGACGAACCTCTTATTATATCAAGATTACATTTGAGAAAAAAAAAACACCCTGTCGTATTGCTAATAGAAGTCATATTCGCATTACGTATTATGACATAATATTATTATGTTCGACCATTTTATAGGGGACACACCAAAGCCACCGAAAAATTATTTGTGGAACTCTTTACAATTATGCTGAGCATTGAAGAAACACCTCAAAATGATTCATTCTTCATGAGTCATATTAAAGCAACAAAAAGAAAAAAAGATAGCCACGATGCTCCCGAATAGACCTTGTCTGAGGCTTTTGATAAATTTACTATGAAAAGGTTAAGCAGAGAAATTGCATAATTTATCGTTATCATGATGTTAGGAAAACTAGTAGTGTAGTACGAATAAATATACCTTACCATCAGGTCCGTAGGCCATGCCAGCATTACATATGAGAGCATGCAAGGGTGTTCCTCTGACTTTGAATGACTCTGCAAAGTTCGTTGTACTCGCTAGTGACCCGAGGTCAAGGTTCATGTATACAAGGTCAAGTTCTTCGACCTGATCGGTGTAATATAAAGTTGAACGAGATTAATTTTGAAGAACAACATGTTATCTGCAAGTATTGTAAGTTTTGTCTGAAAATGTGAATATTTACCCAAAAAATCGTAGATATGAATGGACAAATTGTGACATTCTGTCGTAAATGACATAACACGAGTCATGGGGATATTTAGTCAAGAAAACTGAAACTAATTTTGTATTTAAAGATGCCTTCCTTTCCTTTCTGAAAAGGAACGTGTTTTGTGGGGGGGGGGGGAGACTAGCTAACACATATGAAAGTGTATAAAAATAGGAATGGAGTAGAATTAAAGTCACAAAAACTGCTAACAAACTAGTTAAACATGGTTATCAAACGTACGGTTTAAACAAAAGTGTTAATTCTCGTAAGGCTCAATATTGCATCAATATTTTATTCTTAAATCAAATAATCGTTTATTTCCATCATAAAATCAAAATAAACATATCATGAACTAATATAGTCGACATATAGGAATGAGGGGAAATTCCCTAAAAGCACGGGGCTTGTGGGGGGGGGGGGGGGTCGCCATAACAAAACGGAATGGATCAAAAAACTATTTAATAATTTTCATCAACATGAAATACCTATAAAGATATCTTTTATTAAATAATAATTGCATTGATTGTGTTATTTGTTTGTGTAGAAAATTTCATCCATCCTGATGATACGCATACCTGACTTTTGACCTTTGACCTTCCTTTCACTTCCTGCTCCTCATTATGTTCTTGTTTCATCCGATCGATGGCCTACATGAGAAACAACAACTACGGGGCTAATAAAAGAATCGCATATTTGACAATAAGAGCTTGTTTTTATGAGATCTTCTACTACATATAGAAGATGAAATAATCCGTTGAAGATCTTTATGTCATTGATCCATATAATAGTGCCCTGCCAGAATCCGTCCTGCTTCAGTTGCTTTTCTTCAAAATCTTTGCTTAATACACATTTCTCTTTTTACCAGCGTTACATGGACACCATATTCATATAACATTACATGAACTTTGGTTTCATAATATTGGATAACCATAAAGCTTGATCCTTATGAAGATAGTTGGCTATGCTTGTTATGCTAAACTCAATTTGAGCAAAAGTTGTTACAGTTGATAGGAAACATAATTTGTCTTACTTCTGGTATGTCACAAACGTTGCCCAAACTTTCTGGACGGACCCCCATAATATACTTACCCCAAGAGCTTTTGTCTCCGATCTGCAGGCCAGTATCACCTTAGCTCCCATTTGAGCCAGGGATTTCGCTGTCTCATAACCAATTCCTGAACAAAGAATAAAAGCAATTGGAGAAATGTATTTTCCATCGGTTGCAGCCAAGTTCAGGAACCGACTACCTACTATCGTGGAGACTGCTTCATCTGTTGACCAATTAAGGAAACACGTGAAGTCCCATTTTGGTCATAAAGGACATTGGATTGTTTTGAATTTTTTTCTAAGTGATGATATTGTTTAAGCGATCAAAACATGACTTGTGGAAAAATGTGTGAAACATTTTGTAACTGCAATGAAAATGCGCTATATCAATAAACCGTTCGGGTTGGATCGAAAGATTGTAAGAAGCACTCATAGCGATGTCGGTAAAATAAAATACACTGCCGTTACACATGACAGAAGATAAATTGGAGTTTTCTCTAAACATCTTTAGATAAGTGACCGAAACCATAACATGATGTTGGTTTATAATATTATCTAGGTATTTCGAATTGAAGATGGTTAGAAATACCATTGGGGAAATTAATATAACAGTAACGACACTACAAATATTTACATTATATTACAATTGCGATATAGCATGTCATTTCGAGAAAATACCCAAGGCAATATAAATGGCCTAATACGTCACCCAATGAAATTTGCGAACATTAAAAAAAGGGAGTTACGCAATCCGAACATGATATTTAGGGATCTGCTCGCTATTATTTTCTTGTGACCCCCAAAATTACCAAAACGTGGGGGGAAAGATCATTTGCATACTCTAGTCCTAAATTATGGAATGGCCTTCCTGAAGACATCAATTATTATTATTATTATTATTATTAGGCATTTAGCTACGCTATTCATAGTACACTATATCACAGCGCTTACAATAATAACCACAAATCATAACATAACATAACATTGAACAAAAACAAAAAAATAGCGAATCAAGTAGGAAATAAATAGGTTTTAAGGAGTTTCTTAAAAACATCCACTGATGCAGCAGCTTTGATACTGGAGGGAAGTTTATTCCACTCCTTAGCTGCTGCAACAGTGAATGTGCGATCTCCTGCCTTACTACGAGCCACATGAAATGTCAGTCGAAATGGGTCTGCATTGGAGCGAAGGTTTGTACGTACAGGTTGATACAACTCAAGACAGTCACTAAAATACTCTGGTGCCTGATCATGAAAAAATTTGTATACAAATAAAAGAATCTTAAAAACAATCCTCTGTTTGATTGGCAAACAAATGTTTATCTTCTGATTCTTTCAAAACTCATCTCAAAACATTCCTTTTCAAGTCTTGATCGTTTTTCCAGTTTACACGCGCCTTGAGCACTCCACAGAGTGGATTTGGCGCGATATAAGTTACATTATTATTATTATTATTATTATTATTATTATTATTACAAGGACCGCGATTATTTTATAAAAAACCGCTATTCATTTAGTTGCGCGTATGGACAGCGGTCCTTATGAACGGCGGTCTTTAAGAATTCGACGTAAATTGTATATGGTTTGCTCGCTATTTATAAGGGCTGCTGTTCGTAAAGGATCGCTATTCATTTTGTCGCGCGTTATAAAGGTCCTTATGAATAGCGGTCCTTATGGATAGCGAGCTTGACCCGATGGAACATGACAAAAGATATTGGAATGCCCTTGATTTGTTGTTGTTGATAGATGCGATCATCAAAACATTAAATAGCAAGAAAGAAGAAATATGGCTAAAGATGAGTAATCAAACCTGCATTAGCCCCTGTCACAATGATAACTTTCCCTTTCAGATCCACCTCGGGGAGTTCTGGCTGGGAGCTCAGACTGGAACCCATGTTGGGTTAGGTTAGAGTCAGCATTCCTGGAAAGAAAAGTCAATGCAAAACTTCAGTATGTCATTCTATCTCATTGGGTAACACAGTAACGGTTCTGGAGGGGCGCTTACTTGGGGCTAATGTACCTCTTTCCTCCCCAACAAAAAGAGTAAAAAAATGAGCTTCCCTCCCAACAAAAAACAAAGATTATAAATGTATGTTGGCGCTGCACAAGTAAAGTATGAATTCAAGAACCTGAGGTCGCAAAAAGACCCCTAATATATATATATATATATATATATATATATATATATATATATATATATATATATATGTGTGTGTGTATTTTTTTAATAATACTACTGACAATAAAGGCTCATAAGGATCCAGGAAGGGTCAAAACAACTCGCCCCTAATACATAGTCTTAAAACGGAAAAGGGGAAAATGAATTAGAAGATTCAGAAAAGGCGAATAGGATTTCCTAAATCGAAGGACACCCTCAATCCCCCCCCCCCCTTCTTTCTGACAATCCTGCATGGATCGATCTGGTTGTTTCAAAAAGCAGCTATATAGTACATGGCCTATGGTAGAACTATAGTGCAGAATCTCTTTTACGCCTGACCTAGATAGTTGAGTTCGTAGTTTAAAACATGAGGACTCGGCAAAATATCAGGTAATATTACATGGCTATACATGACTGAGGAATTCCGCGCATGAACTCGATACAGTTCAATTCGCAGGGCTGCACAAATATAACGCCTATTCAAACATTTAACACCAAAGCTGAGACCATATATTGTGAGCGTGAAGTCTGCCTGCATTTTTGTATCACTACAAACACATACAGAGTTGCCCATAGAGATTTGAAACTCTCAATTAGTAGAAGTAGGAGTAGCAGAAGTAGTAGTAGTAGTAGTAGTAGTAGTAGTAGTAGTAGTAGTAGTAGTAATAGTAGCAGCAGCAGCAGCAGTAGTAGAAGTAGTAGTAGTAGTAGTAGTAGTAGTAGTAGTAGTATAGTAGTAGTAGTAGTAACAGCAGTAGTGCAGTAGTAGTTGTATTAGTAGTTGTAGTAGTAGTTGTAGTAGTAGTAGTAGTAGTAGCAGCATCAGTAGTAGTAGTAGTAGTTGTTGTAGTAGTAGTTGTAGTAGCAGTTGTAGTAGTAGTTGTAGTAGTTGTGCAGTAGTAGAAGTAGTAGTAGTAGTAGTAGTAGTAGTAGTAGTAGTAGTATAGTAGTTGTAGTAGTAACAGCAGCAGTAGTAGTAGTTGTTGTAGTAGTAGTTGTTTTAGCAGTTGTAGTAGTAGTTGTAGTAGTAGTAGTAGTAGTAGTAGCAGCATCAGTAGTAGTAGTAGTAGTTGTTGTAGTAGTAGTAGTAGTAGTAGCAGTTGTAGTAGTAGTTGTAGTAGTAGTGCAGTAGTAGTAGTAGTAGCAGCAGCAGTAGTAGTAGTAGTAGTAGTAGTAGTAGTAGTAGTAGTAGTAGTAGCAGCATCAGTAGTAGTAGTAGTAGTTGTAGTAGTAGTAGTAGTAGTAGTAGTAGTAGTAGTAGTAGTAGTAGCAGTTGTAGTAGTAGTTGTAGTAGTAGTGCAGTAGTAGTAGTAGTAGTAGCAGCAGCAGTAGTAGTAGTAGTAGTAGTAGTAGTAGTAGTAGTTGTTGTAGCAGTAGATGTGAAAGTAGTTGTAGTAGTAGTTGCAGTAGTAGTTAAAGAGTAGTTGTAGTAGCAGTTCTAGCAGTAGTTGAAGTGTAGTCGTAGTAGTTGTTGTTGTTGTTGAGTTTTTATTGGGTGGCTTGTTTAGCACTACGCTATAATCAGCATCATGGTTCTTTGCACAAAATTAGAAACAATACATTATCGGATATACAATCATGATTAAATGAAAGACTGATTTTTATTTTCATAACGCAAGTCTGTACATAAATGAAAAACACCGTGCGTTGCGCGTTGTCTCTGTTTCAAACTGCATAACATTCATCCTACTTCAAACAAGCAAACGGAGAGTCATTTTTCATCGCTGTTTCCAAAGATTATGATTTCAATGAATCATTTACAAACTCGAAAAATGAATGCACAATGACAATACATACCCCGATCATTTCGTTGTTGTTGTAAGCACACAACCAGCCAATTTAATATTGACTAGCATTATGTTTCGTTGTACGGAGACGGCCTACATGAAATTGGTTTAAAGGTCGGTTTGCACAATGGACCCTTGACAAATAAGCTCTGTCCTGCTGCTGCTATAACTACTATTACTATTAGGCCTACTTTTACTACTTCTACTACCACTACCCCTACTCCTACTACTACTACTACAAATACTACTACTACTACTACTACCACTTCAACTACTACTACTACTACGACTACGACTACAACTTCGACGTCGACTGCTTCTACTACTACAATCATTACTACTACTACTTCTACTACTACTATTGCTACTACTACTACTTCTAATAAAAATATTAGTAGTATTGATATATATAACGTTCCAATTGGATACAGCAGTATACATGTATGTGTGAATACAACCTATAACGTGGGAGTAAATTAAATTCTCATCCTTTTCCTTTTCTGAAGAGTTTCATGAATATAATAATTTTGTTGTCCCTTTAATAAATTGCTATCAAAACAGCTAGAATTTTCGAACTTTAGTTTCGAATGCATGTGAAAAGGAGCTAGTCCCTATGATTGTATTGTACGATATTGTATCTCTTTCAGAACACGTGGGCCCCGTTTCACAAAGCATCCTTTCAATGACAAATGACAAAATTCAGTAACAAATCTGCTGATAACCAATCAGAAGCAAGGATTTCAGTAGCTTATAACGAAAACTGGCAATTGTCACTGATGACAAGTTTTGTGAAACACCCCCCTGAACGTATTTCCGACCACGGTCCAAAGTCCAGGTTATTATGGTTTCTTTGTCAAGGCAATATATTTATAAAGTAAATATTAAATATCCGTGGTTTGTAAACATAACCTGTGCTTGTTATCAACTTGAACTTTCGAGGATCACTCGTGATTTTAAAGTGACTCGGTAACTTTGCTGAAACAAAATCCTGGATTTAGCTCATGCTGAAATCATAACTATAAACCTTTAGTTCAGTCAGAAATCCCATGACTTATTCAAGCCGATCGCCTGTCTGATTATCAAGATAATAATGATTGAAAATCGAAATTTCATTTTGCATTTTCCTAACGGTATTCATAACACTACAGTCTTTGGGGAAAATGGGTTTGGTAAAATCGGTCACTCAAATATTGTTTTACTTTTTGAGGCATTTCATGATTATTTTAAGCGATTTTTTTTAAGGCTTTAATTTTACACCATATCACAGACAATGATATGGGGTCATGCATCTCAGATTTAACATTGCTAAACGATGCCTTTAAATATACAAGTAGTGTCGATCTTGTCCATGTTTTCAGTTAGGTTTTAACCAGCCCTTGATTTGACATTGACCTAGATAATTTTAAATGCACTTCATTTCATTAGACTAGCCATTATCTTGTGGGTCTATTTTGTTTGCTGCTGTATTTCTTGTTTCTTTTCTTTTTTCTTTTATACATTTGTTGTTGTTGTTTTGTGTTTTTTAGGAAGGGGTTGCATGTTCTTCCTTTCCCAACTATTAAAGCAAACTGACATGCAGTGTGTGTGCATAATACAAGTATACCATAGTGACAGAAACACATAAATCCCATTTAATATTCTTGAGATATATTTGTATCATTTTACTAATTAGCCATATGCTGATTTTAGAGCATATTATGTCTACGTAATCACATTCGGATTCGGATATATTAGATTTAACAACACACATTGGGCACACTGTAAAATACATGATCCTAGTTTTATCAACTCCCTATTATTTCTTGATATACACAAAGAAATGATTATAACTGGGATATTATATGTTATTGTTATCAAGTATTTGGCGTCACCTGTGCCTGGGAGGCAAAAAACCGAACTGAAACACTTAAACCCTCGGGTCTCTCCGTCTGGTATAACTGATTGGGGGTGTGCAGGTGGACCACTACACCAGGATATCCCCCTACACCTATACAAATATTATCGTGTTATTTTTGTAAAGGTGGTGACTCTCCTCTACACGGGGGCTCCGTTTAACGTCCTATTCGATTAGAACTGGGATATTATACAACTTTTGACTGCTCTGAGCAGCACGGTTAATACCTCAGTTACACCGCCAAACGGACTTCAAATCGACTACAAACCGACTGACCGATTTTTGGCTTTCGAAGTAATGATATATTTCGTTCGGTCTGTTGTCGGTCCGGAGTCGGTCTTGTCGGTGTGACTAAGGTATGAGACTATTGCCGCAGGTGATCTTGGAGTATACTGTGACCCGAAACGAAGTCGATAGGCAAATTAAGTGCAGTGTCAAGAACACCAAGGAGCTATAGTTTTATCAGCAACCGTGACCGTATCAATCTCTATCTCTCTCTCTCTCTCTCTCTCACACACAAACACAAACACACACTCTCTCTCTCTCTCTCGAACTCCTTCTCTCCCCCCCTCTCTCTCTCTCTCTCGCTCTCACACACACACACACACACGCTCCCCCTCTCTCTCAAACTCTCTCTCTCTCCCCTTCTCTCTCTCTCTCTCTCTCTCTCTTTCTCTCTTATTATTTAACGCATATGAACATAATATATCGTCCTGTAATCCGTCATGACTGTAATCTTAATTTATTTGTGCAGATGACTAATGTATTGGAATGGAAACATAAAATTCATCCTGTCCGGCTTTAGTTCCGTGCGCTCCCTGTATACTTGGGGTTTTATGTTATCCTTTATTTCCTTCGTATTTCTTACCCGTTTACCTTTAGAAAGCCAGGCATACATAACATATTAATACAATTTTAACAATACCGTGATAGAAGACTGTCGTAAATTGGTCGAAAAGTGGTAAACACGTCGTACGGATGACGTAATTACGAGGTCATCATGACATCTTTAAAAGACTATTTTTTCCAAGATAATTTTGTCGCATTCATGCAGTGACGATGTCATTATGACGTCTTTAAAAAAAAATATATAATATAATTTGTGTGGATGATATAATTTAATGTAAATAATTATATGAAACGCATTCTTGTCAAATATCAGACTACGTTTAGCATCTCTTCTGTGACGTACTCCTTGAGACAATCTAGAGTATAATTCCATAAGATCTCCTGTTTCGCCTCGTCTCTAAAAGGAAAAATGAAAAGAAGACTTTAAAGACGAGGTTTTAAGGGTTAAGCATTAAACATTTAAGTGCGATAGTGGTTTAAACAGTCCTCGTTTTGATGTTGTAATTCTAATGTTTTTGAACTGAGAAAAGCTGTCTGTGAAGTTCAAACTGGTTAATGAATGCATGATCAGGATGAACACGAAAATCGCACATCGATTGAAACTTTTTCACGGAAAATTAACAATAAATGGAAAATCAACAATAAATAGGTACATTATTTTCAGCATAGTTTAGCATATTTTAGAATATTGCACTACTTGGCTATTGTTAAGCGGATTGCTGTGAAAAGACCTTTTTGTTAACAATAGGAGAATATCGTTTTCTGTCAAATTTCAAAATCATAATCAATATAATAAAAGGTTTACCTTGGTAAAGCGGTGAGACTCTGTGGCTTCGAGCTCTCAAAATACAGCGCTGTCTTCCCATCATACACCGGATTGGCCGCGGCGTGAAGTCCCGTCAACGCACCGTCGAAGGGATTTCTCATCATTCCTATAGTGTATAAAGTAACAGAAAAATTTCTGCAAAATAACCAGACAGTTTTACTTGATACGTAAGCACTATAATTTGCTGAATAACGGGAAAGAAATAAACGACTCTAAACCGATTTAATTTTCCCTCTCCAAAGAAGCATCAAACCCCGTGAAATTTAGATCCTCGGCTTAACATGTTTATATGTTCATATTAAATGATATCACATTTTGTTCCAAAATAAGATCGATTTACCACTATTAAATATCCGTTTCATGAGCACGTATCCAGTATTTATATTTTGTCTCCATGTACTTCACAATTTTTTCTGCAATGACCTTTATCTGCTCATGCTCAGACTGCAACTATGAACTGGCTTATCATCAAAGATCGACGATTTTTGTTTTCTTTTTCTTTCCAGTATGAATTTTTCCAGAAGTGCAAATAGTAATTTACCAAATTTGAATGGCCCTATAAAGAGTGGGATACTGAATTACTTAGTTGCCGTCAGGAAAATCTTGGTTTTTCTTGTGGCTGGCTGACAGGGGCGCTTGTGCACAACACATCATAACACCAGATCGAATGATCAAGAACCGACGTTTTGGCCATTAGTGTAAATTGTAATTTTGTTTAAAGAGAAGGTTGAGTTCTGAGAAGAGGTAAAAAATAATTTGTGAGCGTTATCATTCGTATTATGCAAGTGTGGAAGAACATCAGATAAGACATGTTCTCTGAAAAGCATGGCTCTTCAAATGCCTTCATATTCTAAATATGTCATGTACATCGTAAAACTCGGGGGGGGGGGGTAGGTTTTTTACGCCACGTGTTCGTGTAGTCCCATATACATCTTTTCGTGTACAGTGTTTGTAACTTTATCAAGACTTGGCCAATTTCTTATCATTTTGATGATTCCAGAACCTTGCAATACACACACATTCTTATATGCTAGATGATAAATCTTTTCTGGTCGATTCCACACCGTTTCTTTCACAATGCAATCGCATGACCAGAACTCAACTTCATCTAAAGAGTGGCATACTTAATGACTTGGTCGCCCACAGGAAGATCTTGGTACTTCGTGTGACTGGCTGGTCTTCCCTTGAGTTGATCTCTGTGGCAACGACCCCAGGATGAACAGAAAACACGCTGACCTTTGACCCCGCCAATCTTCTCGCTAAAGAAAACATCTGCATAATCTATGGAGAAAAAAACAATTGAAAAAAGGTCAGAAAACTAAACCAAAGGCAATATTGTAAGAGACTTGAGCGCCACCTATATATGGTAATTGAAGTGCACACACGACAATGGCAATTAAGTCCTAAACATTTTCTTTAGGTAATACAATTTGCCGGGTATTGGACATTAATTTCTTGACAATCTTTGTAATCTATGTACTAATATATACATATATTTGCATCCATGATCATACATCAACTCGTCTTTTAAAAAATTCACGTTTATTTGACGAAATTTGATAGGGCTCTGAACAAATTATGTTCAAGACTCTCAAGACTTCCCTCTCGCTTTCGATTTTGCATGCACATGTCTAAGGAGTTAGGTACTCGTATCGTT